AGAGCTGTGTATGAATGAAAAATATATATTATTCACCCAGTGGGCACAAGAACGTTTTGCAAACGTTTTTTGAAGGTCCCATGAAAACGTTTTTTATTGGTTTTTTAAAGGTCCATATGAAACGGTGACCGGACGTTTTTCTAAAACGTATTTTGAACGTTTTGGAAGGGTTTCACAAAAACGTTTTTTATTGGTTTTTATTGCGTCCACGTAAAGCGGTTCAATATATTTTTTTTCCTAACATTTTACGGAACTTTGTTTTCTTCTAATAATAACGGTTTTTTTTTAAATTATAAGTTATACAAGAATTATTATTTTTTGCCTAGTTAATAATACAAATTTTTATTCAATCAACTTTGTTTTTTTCCGTGAAATGATTTTTTTCGCATTAGTTAAAAAAAACTTTTACTAATTTTTATACAAGTTAGTTATAGAATGTAAAAAATTATTTTACAAATGCAAATTTAGCCTAGATTCGCATAGACTTTGCAAAGACTTTTATAAGAAAAAAATTTCTAAAAGTTTAATTATTTTGTTTTCATTTATTAAGTAAATATACATAAAAGAAATAAAATAATTTGTTAAGTTAATCTATCAGGAGCTCTCTTCAAATGATCGCCAATTAACATATCGACCAAATCAAATTTTGTCGAATGTGACACCAATGTTTCTAAAAATAAAACACCATAAAAATCTTTTATGCATTTTATAACATACATACAAATAGTGTTACATTATACACAAACTTTTACAAAAATACTCAGGGTGAATTATATCTATAAACATTATGTTTAGTTTATATAACAATTTTTAAAACGCAGTTATCATTGGATTATGGAATAAAAAATTACCTATAATTCTTTATACAATAATGTTTTTTGAAACGATCTTTTTCCATATCTTCCTGCTTTGTTAAACAAAGCTTGGACACTTTTTGTCATAGTTTCGTCCAAAACCTTATTAACTGACGCTGATATTGAACTTCCACCTATTTGTTTAAGTTGACGGACCTACAATATTAAGTATCAATATCAACTTTTTATAATTAGTATAAAATTAGCATAAAATTAGCGTAAAATTAGCATAAAATTTGCATAAAATTTGCACAAAATTAGCATTTAATTCGAATAACTATATATTAATGTAAAGAAGAATTATACCATCAAACGAAACTTTTCGTTATTACTTAATAATTATTTCTCTTTCATCAAATTCTATTATATTCTTGCATTTATCCATAAAACATAACAAATCTTCTCGCTCTGTCCTTCTTCTCAGCTTTTCCAATCCAGACAAGCAAATTTTTATTTCAGATTTTATGGTTGCTAACTCCATAAATATTGCATATTGAAAACCTATAATAATAAATTAAAACACATTTACGTATTTTTATAGAACTCAATTGAATTATTCTGTTAATTTATTGAAATAAATGTATAATTTAAAAACATTTGAACAAGGTTCAAAATTTTTTAACATACGTCTTTTATCCATGGCTTTAAAACTTGCAGGTGGTTCATCATAACAATAAGTTCCTGCAATTCCTCTTGGAGTGTCTTTTTGAACTTGTTGCAAAAACGAAACATGTTGATTTGATGCAGATAAAAAAGTAGATTGAAATTCAAAATCCTCCTCTAAATTCGAAATATCATCTTCTTGATATTTCCGAGTAGATACTATCTTAGGATCCTTTTTAGGGGGTACAAAAAATCTTGAAGAAAATAAAGACGATTCAGTAACCTTTTGCACAGTAATATCAGGACTTCCATCTCTTATGTGCAATTGATTATCATATGTTGCACTACTACATTCTGAAATTGATATTAAAAATAAAAATACAAAACTGCATTATTTTATTAATTCTAATAAAGTACCTGAATAAAGAAAACTATTAATTTTAAAAATCATGTTAAAGTTTAAAAAAACCTTTTTCTTGAAAATCAGAATTTGAACACTCTGAATCAAATTTCATGCATGCATCGCACATCTCTTTTGTTCCATTGTCAAGATTTATTTTTATCAGTGTATATTCTTCCCAGCTGTCTTTATCAGGTGAAAGCCAGTTTAAAATATAGTAGTTTATTTTTTTTTTGGCCTTCAGAGGCCAATATACAACATTTTTGAGTTCATTTACCCAATGGACAGGTACAGTCATTTTATTTAATTTTCCGTCTACAATGATTGTCACAACAGAATAAAGTCTTCTGATTGGGCTGAAATAAAAATATAATTAAGCAATTGCTTAATGTTATTATAAAAAAATTTTATGAAGTCAGCAAAGGTTTATTTTTACAATTAATATAAATAAACAGCCCTATATATAATATAAAGTCATTTTTTGTAATTTATTTTTAACAATAACAATTTAAAAAACATGTTTTCTACAACGAATTACCTTGTATTAGGTTGTGATCGTTTCCTTGTAACTATGCTTGCTTCTTTTTTATTCATATTTAAAAGTAGGTAATGAAATTATATCACTTAAATATTAATATAAATC